AGATCCTTGTCCCTGATCAATCCAGAACTCCCTGCTGTACAGAATCTACCTTCCTTCCTTTTTGGATTATGAAAACATTTGCCTGCCTTGAACCATCTGATCTCTTGTGTTCTAAGTTAATCCTCAAACATCACCGGAGGCAGCTTAGTGTCCTCATTGCCAAGCTCAATAAGGATACATCCATCTGGGCCAGGAAGTATGAATACAGAACAGCACTTGACACATCTTGAACTTTATTTATTTCCTATCACTGTCCTTACCCCTTTAAGTCTGAAAATAATTAATCTTTTTCTGCTTTTAGACAGAGGGATCAGAAGTCCAAAACTTACCCTCCAACTAGCCATCAGAAATCAGAATATCTTTGATGCTATAGAGCACATATCCCAGATGTACCAAAGGACTCACAATGGACACTAGTAAATGGTAGACAGCATTTACCAAAATAAAATGTGAAACCACTAACAATTCTCCTTGCATTTGGGTACAGCATGCGCATCCTTCCCCCACTGTAAGTAGAGAGAGGAATCTGCTTCTTTGACTATTAACAGACAACCTCAGGACGTTAGAAAGCATACTATATTTTCCAATTCCCTTCACAATTCTTAATATATTTGAAGGAGGTAGGGCTGGAGTTATGCTTTCTATCTGAAAGAAATCTGATGCTAGGGAGGTTAAAAACATCACCTAAGACTTCAGAATTAAAATGGTAGAAATTTTTAAGTGGAAGGAATCCGTCTAATTTCAAGACTTATTTTATAGCTACAGCAATCATGGCAGTGTGGTCTTGGTGGAGGGACAGACACATAGATTAAATGAAACAGAATAGAGAATAGAGAACTCAAAATGGATAATGGACTTACATGTAAAATGTAAAACCACAAAACTTTTTTTAAAAATAGAAGAAGCGAGCCGGGCTCGGTGGCTCAGCCTGTAATCCCGCGCCTTTGGGAGGCTGAGGTGAGTACATTGCCTGAGCCTGCAGGTTCGAGACCCGCCTGGGCAGCGAGACCTCATCTCTACAATAAATCAAAAAATCAGCCAGGCGTGGTAGCGTGCACCTGTAATTCCGGCTACTCGGAAGGCTGAGGCGGAAGGATTGCGGAGCCCAGCAGGTCGAGGCTACGGTGGCCGGGAGCAGCCACTGCACTCCAGTCTGGGTGACAGAGTGAGACTCCAACTCAAAAAATAATAATAAAAATAAATTAAAAAAAGAAGAAGCATAACGAACATTTGTATACCTAACTCTGAATTGTACCCCATGTCTTTACAATAAAAAATAGAAGAAAATCTTTAGAAGTGAGGACTATGCAAAGATTTCTTAGACTTGACACCAAAAGCGCAATCCATAAAAAGAAAAACTTATAAACTGGACTTCATCAAAATTTAAAACAAAACAAAAACAATAAAAGACCTTAGAAATTTAAAAGCCTGGCAGATAAAAATTCAATAGGATGATTAGAATATAGAAATGAAGAAATCTGCTAGAATATAGAACAAAATGACAAAGGAATGACAAAGAAATTTAAAAATAGAAGAGAGAAAACTAGAAAATTAGAAAATCAATCCAGGACAGCCAACATTCAAATAACAGGAATTTCAGAAAATGGGGTGAGAAAAGAAAACTATCAAATAAGACAAACCAAAAAATCTCCCAGAATGTAAGGCTATACATCTCTAGATTAAAAGGGACTACCAAATACCTAACATAATAAATGACAAATACATACACTAAGTGTATCAAGAAAAACAAAGAGAAAATTTATAAATTTCTAGGACAAAAATGTGAGTCACTCCCAAAAGACCAGGCATTAGAATGGCTTAGGATTTCCCAAGTGCAACACTGAAAGCTAAAATATGGTAGAGTGATGTTTTCAAAAATCTGAATGAAATAATTTCCAGTCCAGAATTTTGTACTCAAGTTATGACATGAATAAGCATAGAATAAAGATACTTCTAAGACCTGAAAGTTCTCAAAAATTTGCTTATCATGTACCAGGAAGCTACTGGAGGACCAGCTCCAACAAAATGAGAATGAAAGAGAAGCCAGGTGTTCTAACAAAAAAGGGAGGCAAAGGCAATGCCTAGAAAATTCCAAGATAAGATGATGGCAAATTAAGACCTGAAGAGCAGTCCAGATTCCATTAAGACAGAAGATTGAGAAAGAAATCTTGACAATGATAAGGCAGACAATAATACTAAACTCAAAAATTTCAAAAAATGTTTCATACAACCTAGGGAGAGTTTGGAGTTAAATTGTTGAAAAGTATACAGAAAACTGAGGTCAAAAAAAGGGGGGGGGGGAAGACAATTATAGTGAAAACACAGTCGTATGGGAATGACATAGTAATCATAGTCTACCAGGAGATTCTATAGGAATAGATTTCTTACATCATAATGTAAAAGCTAATATTCATATAACCAATACACTGTTAAAACTTACTGAAATTTTAGAAGAATGGGGACAGAGAATAATGCAAGTACTTGGGGAGTGGGGTGGGCAGGGCATACAAGAGAGCTAAATCCTTACTCACCATAGGAGACACTGTTTAAAATGGAGGAAAACCAAGAACTAGCAATACTAGCATGCTATTGAGAAATATATCAAAAGAATCATTTGAGGTGGTTGCCTATGGACCTTGAAACGACACAGGAGGACCCATTGGGTAACTGCTGGATACTTTTCTAACAAGCTTGATTCACCTATTTGAATATTTAAGCTTTGAAAAAGTATAAGCCAAAAGCAAACCAAAACAAAACCCTCAGAGCTAATACACCACTGGGCCAGAACCTGAATCCATGTCACTGAAATCCTAATAAGGGTTGGACAAGGTGACTTATGCCTGTAATCTCAGCACTTAGGGAGGCAGAGACAAGAGGACTGCCTGAGCCCAGGAGTTCAAGACCAGCCTGGGCAACTTGGTGAGACCTCGGCTCCACAATAAAACAAAAAATTAGCTGGGTGTGGTGATGCACACCTTTAGTTCCAGTTACTTGGAGGACTGAGGTAGAAGGATCACCTGAACTATGCAGGTCGAGGCTGCGGTGACTGTGAATATGCCACTGCACTCAAGCCTAGGTGACAGAGATTAGGACTCAAAAACAAAACAAAACCCCTCCTAATCAGGCCCGATAATTTGTGAGTGCCTAATGTGCCTGTGCTGCTTAGTTCCTCCATTACAGTGCCTGCCTAGAACAAAGTAAACTCTCAACGTGTTTCTGAATGAGTGGGAGAAAGTGAAAGAATGGGATTGCTTTGTAGCACAAGACAATGAATGAGAAGGGCATTCCAGGTAGAGGAAACAGCAGAAGCAAAGACAGGAAACAAAGTGTGTGAGAGCTGAGCAAGCATGGGGCAAGGTTCAGAAAGGAAGAAAAGCAATGATTAGTACTGCCAAAACCCACGGTGTGTATAGAAAAAGATATAGCAAGGGAGTCTGCAGCTGCGTGCTGGGGAGCGGGAAGACACTGGCAACCTGCAGACAGATCTTCGTGGTCTTGACTGTATGTATATGAGCCTCAGGAGATGGTTTGTTTGCTCTGAATGCTGACAGTTCCTTCCCAGATAGTTTCAGCTTTCAGGAATCCAGAGCCGTACCAGGGTCTCTAAAACCCTGAGTCAACTAGTTACTCTAAGCAACCGCTGAAAGGGCAACTCCATAAGGGGTGGAAAGGGCCAAGAAAAGCCTGGTGGAATCCCTGCAATGCCACTCCTCATTTTTTGGATTTCTTTCTGCTCTTTACAAAAGCATTAAAAACCATGGGAACAAAGGAACCATCCTCTGTAGGTGAACATAAGCACATGCCATTACCATTACTCATACACTCATGTCATCCAAAGTCCATCAGGCATTTACTTTATGGCAAGAAGTGTGTTGGAGCATAAAGTTATTTCCAATAGCTTACTTTCTTACAGTAGAACTACTTATAACATAACAGGTTAAGCAATACAATCGTTACAAATAAAAGTGCTATGGAAACAAAGGAATAAAAAACTATACATTTAAAGTTTTTTTATTATGTATACTGTCAAACAGAGATAAAAGAAAGATACTACTCTAACATACTCCCATACAGTCCTAACTCTGCTTTAATCATCAACAACTCTTGGCCAGTCTAATTTCTCTTCTAAACCCACTCATTGTTCTCAAGACACCATATTATTTTCTCCATAATATTTCAGCATGCATATCTAGATTTAGAGATTCTTTAAACGTGATAGAAATCTAAATCTCGAAAAATGAGTAAGTTTTCAAAATTAAGGTACAATTAATATGTAATCAAAGGCACAGATCTGAAGGTGTTCACTTGTGTTCTGACAGCAGTATCCTCCTGTGTAACCACTACTATCTAAAACAACACAGAGAACACTTCCACGGCCTAGAATGTTCCCATACGCCTCATTCTAGTCAATTTCCCACTCCTCGATAGCCACTTTCTGACTTCCATCTCCATAGGTCAATTTTGCCTGTTCTTGGACTTCTATAAATGGAATCAGAGTATTCATGAGGTTTCTGGGTTTGGCCTAGGTTTCTAGGATAAAAAGGGGGAAAAGTGTTCCAGGAGAAAAGAACTATGTATAAAATATAAAGTTGTATAAGAATATGTTCACAGAATGTTGAAAAGTTTAGAAAAATTGAAAACTGAGGATTGGTAACTAACAGGACAAGACTAGAAGAGGCTCATTGGAAAGTTAGATTTTCCAGATTACAAGCCACAATTAATTTCTGGGAATCAAGTTTTAGGAAACTTTTCCCAACATCCAAAACTATTTCTCTGACCTAAAAACTGGTCAGTTCTCTCAATATACTCCTTCCTCGATCACCCTTCAGCTGAGGGTGATCATGGCAGGAGCGGTCCTATATTCCATGGCTGCGCAGTCCCATCTTGTCCAGAGGCCTCTCTGCCATCTCACAGAAGGGAACAAGTCCCCCCCGGCTTTCTTATGAGAGGGTATTATCTGCCCCATTTTAAACAGTCCCGGGTCCAAGGGGCAGCCTTACCATTATCTGGATTTCTCTCTTGCACACCTGGAGATCATGCTCATTGTTGACAAACATGCGTTTCAAGGCACATTTCATCCCATTGCTTGTTCTCACCAGAAACACGATAGCAAATCCACCTGTGAGAGAAACACACACACAAACTCTTTTGAGTCACGCTGAAAAAGTCAATCAGATGACAACAGTGGCTGCAGGTTGCTGCTTTCACTATTAATGGTACTAATGCCACTGTCAGCCAGCCCTAATGTTAGCCCGGCTTAGAAGGCATTCTTAGATTTTTAGAACTCAGAGACATTATGTGGGATTGGGTCAAGAGTCAGAGAAATTGTTCCCAAATACATATCTAAGGATAATGAATATAATTATCCTCCAATAAACCTACAAATAAGCAGATAAATTGAGAAGAAGAAGAAGAAAAAATCCAACTACATTCCAATCATTGTCCTTGGTACTTCAATGCTCTTGTTCAATTTTTACCATAATTCTGTAAGGTTGAGTATTATTTTTCCCTTTAAAACAACAATTACCATTTGAAGAAAATAGAAGCTCAAAGAGATTTCATTCAAACCAATAACTTTTTTTAAAAAAACATAAGTACAGCACTCTTTTCCTCATACCAGAGAGGCTAGGAAATTATTTCAGTAATTACTACTATAAATAACTGTCAATGAACTTCAAGAATCTCCTTCCCTTTCCCTCCTTCCTTACTCTATTCCTCAACTCAAATCTAACAACAGATGCTGAAGATTCCTCCTGCCCTCCCTACCTCATGGGCTACTGAGAAGATACAAGACATAGGTACCATGCTATACTACACAGCAGACATTAAGTAAGTATGACTCAATTATTGGGCTTTTTTTTCAATGTTAAAATGGCTTCTGCAATTCAGTTAAGATTATATCATTAAATTATTCCATTTTGGCATTTTACCTTTTCACATCCATTGTGAAATGATTACCACAATCAAGTTAATTAACACATCTGTCACCATACATCACTGTCATTTTTTTTTCTGGTGAGAGTACTTAAGACCTCCTCTCAGCAAATTTCAAATACATATACAGTTGGGGCAGATGTTTTAACATCCATGCTGAACTTTCTCTTAAAGACAGTTTACAGTTCATTAACAGAAATTATACAGCTCTTACAGGAATTATAAATGCTTAAAATTCATTACACCTTAGTGTTCCACAAATACTCAGAACTCCTATTCAACCTCACCCCCAAAGTACTGTTTGTGGTTCAATGCCATTGGGGTTTTTTTTGGTTTTTTGGTTTTTTGGTTTTTTTGAGTTGGAGTCTCACTCTGCAGCCCAGACTGGAGTGCAGTGGCCACTCCCAGCCACCACAGCCTCGACCTGCTGGGCTCTGGCAATCCTTCCGCCTCAGCCTTCCAAGTAAATGGAACTACAGGCACGCGCTACCACGCCCAGCTCATTTTTTATTTATTGTAGAGACGAGGTCTCGCTGAGTTGCCCAGGCGGGTCTGGAACCCATGGGCTCAGGCAATCCACTCACCTCAGCCTCCCAAAGGCGTGGGATTGCAGGCTGAGCCACCGAGCCCAGCTTTAATGCCACTGTTAAGAGGGATTAGATAGATACCGTGAGGCAAAGCTGTCAAAGTCAAAGGCTTTGGAATAAGCAGCATTTACACTGGACACTCAGTCCATCTGCCTGCCTTGCACACCATCATCATGTAGCGTGAATATTCTTTCCACTGACCCTGTGCAGGAAAAAAAAATGGACAGGCTACTCTTTGCAGGGAGGTGGTCACTAACAGGATAGAGGTGAACACAGAAGGAAGTCATCAGAATGGGAATTTTAGTTGAGGTTATGAAGTAGCATTGGGGCTAGCAGCTACATGTAAAATTGATATAGATCGATAAACAGCTATTATAGAGACCTCAGGCCACTGAGCAATAAGACTTGGGTCCTGAGGTCCTGAGAGTGCCATTCTAATTCCCCTAAGGCTCAACAGCACTTCAGTACCTATCTGTTGATGTCCATGGCACTTCCTGTCATAACTTTACAGTAATTATTCTTTTTTTTTTGAGTTAGAGTCTCACTTTGTTGCACAGACTGGAGTGCAGTGGCAAGCCCACGGTCACTGCAGTCTCAATCTGCTGGGTTCCGGCGATCTTTCCATCTCAACCTTCCAAGTTGCTGGGGCACGCTACCATGCCCAGCTAATTTTTCAGTTTATTGTAGAGACAAAGTCTAGTCAAGTTCCCAGGCTGGTCTTGAACCCCTGGGTTCAGGCAATCCTCTTGCCTCAGTCACCCAAATTGCTGGAATTACAGTCGTGAGCCACTGTGCCCGGCTACAATAATTATTTTTTTTCAAGTAACCGTATGTTTCTGTTCCTTGCAACCAAAAAGAGCCTTAGTCACATAGCACTGTAACACGTTTTCATAAAATACACATATAATTCTTTTTTAAAAATAGTTTTAATGGGCTCAAAAGTTCCAAATGTGCATTGTAATGATTTACTAGATACATGTTTGTATATTTCCTGTTATTATGTTTATTATTCAGATAAACACTAAAACTTACCTTACAATCTTTAATTTTAACTGTCATCTCTCTAATCTTTGTACCTCAATAACATTTTCCATTTTCTTATAATACTATAAAGTCCATTTATACTGCCCAATCATCAATTTTAATTCTAGAGTATTTACTTTAAAAAAAAAGACCCAGCACTGCAAATTAGAGATATTCTCATTCTCTCTCTCTCTCTCTCTCTCTCTCTCTCTCTCTCTCGTGTGTGTGCACACAAAGTTCTCAATTCTAAGATGCATAATTTTTACATTTTACTGCTTAGGGTATCAGAATTTGTCTTGCACTAAATATGTACATTTAATACAGTGGTATTTATCTTTTCTTTTTTCCCCAAAGTTATTAAATTTATAAGGATATCTTATAATTAATTAGAATTGAGGAAAATGGTAGTATAAATTATAAAATTCCTATTTATATTCATAATTATTTTGTAAAAGTCCAATGGGCATCCATTTTATAAATGTTTTGAATTTCTAAAAAAAAGAAAAAATCACAGAACTACAGACTTCACACCAGTAGCACTCTAGAGAGCATTAGGTCCAAGCTTTGTGCTTTACGGGTGGAGAAAGCAAGTGAGACTTAGGAGTTCCGTGGCTAGTTACGGGCAAAACCTGCCGTAGTGTCACACTCCTGACTATCCAAAAAATATCCTTTTGACTTCACTTATCATTCAAAAAAACATGGAGTACCCCTTTAGATAATAAGACATATGACAATGCTGCAAAATAAAAGTTGGAAATAGGCATTTCCTACAGTTCTGTGATGCCTAGCACCTCTGAACGACAAGGCAGGTCTCTTAGAAGCAGAATACTGCAATTTGAGATAACTACCACCAGATGGGAGCAGTGTAGTTTTCTTTGCCAGGTAGCAAGATAACCTTTCCAGCCAGGACTGAAGAAATGGGTCAATCGCCTAACACACAATCAAGCAAGCATGACTGGGTTGAGCCCAGATTCTCAAAGCCTATGACCATGATACATCTAAAAGCAAAGCAATGAGTCACTTTGCCTGACATAGACAAAATCATGTCACTAAGCATCTATGCCAATAAAAGGGCTTATTTGCAGATGAGAAGCATTTAAATCATGAAATCAAAATCCAAGCCTAACAAGATTTGTCAGTCTAAAGTTGTTGGCCACTGTCACTGTGTAGTTGGTCAAATGGAAATGTAAACTACTAAGAAGGCAGAGGGGAGACAGCATCACTCAAGATACTTGAGCACAGGTCCATGTCTGCCACACTGATCGGGGTGATGAGATTCTCAGCCAGGGCTTAAGAGGGCTCAGGCTATTAAAGAAGAAGGCTGTCAACAGAGAAGACTGTCAATAGAGTTGTTTATTTCAGACTGAGTTATATCCCAAGGTCTTGATTAAATGGAAAAATCCAAAGCTGAGCTGGGGATGGTTTGGACAGAGGGGAAAAAAAAAATCTAACATTCAGTTGCCTGTGCCAGTCTCTCTGCCCACTGGCAGTTTTTGAAAAACTATTATAATCTCATTCACAAATTTAGTGAATCACAAAGAGAAAAAGGATCTGATCTATTATGTGAAGTAAGCAAGTAGACAAGATAATTTTGACAGAGACACACTTTGCCTATTAAACATGTAGGGATTTTTTTTTTTTTTTACTTCTACAAGAAAATATGCTTTCTCCGATTTTCTCTAAAATACATAGCACTGTTGGTCTTACTTTCTTCTCCTAACTGTTGGAGATATGGATGGCTATTTACAACTCACCATGAGTTTAGAGGTTTTGTCTTTTGGTTTACCTCTGGGTCACTGTGCCGTAGAACAGTGTCTGGCACACAGTGAGCACTCAATAATGAGCTAACTCTTCTCAATGTTTCCACAGAGGACAGAAAAGGACACAGAGAGTGGCAGAGACTATGGGAAAGTAATGTATATGGCCCACTTGAAGCTACTGTGCAACTCCAGACCATTGTGGCAACATGAACCTGGTTTTGTTAGACCTGTTAATATCTAAAGTTAAGCTGGAAACCCACAATCCCATGTGAAATCTCCAGATTATAATAAAAACTAGTAACAAGTCACATTTCAAATTAACACTGGACAGGCCATGCTGCAGAAGCTAAAGAAAACACATCTGAAAGCTTTCAAGAATCTCCAAGCCTCCAGTTTTCCATGTCTGATCTAGTCCAACTCCTTCATTTTACTAAAGGCCAAGGAGAAGTAACATAGCCCATACTCCATAAAGTTAAAAAATGACTTGCAAATAAATTCACACACACACACACACACACACACACACACACACCACACACACACACACTCATATGTTGGTTATCACAGCTCTTGCCTTTTTTCCCTAAAAAGGAGTTTATGGAATATTCCCCACCCGGTATTTGCATATGACTTACTTTAAAGGCATTTCAGAACAAAATATTTCATTTATGTTTTCACAGTAACCAAATGAGATAGGTGAGCAACCTACCATTCCCATTTCCCCAACAGGAAAGAGATGCAGAGAGTTTAAGTTCCTTTCCAAAACACATGGAGCTAGTTAGTAGTGATGGAGTTCAGAATAGCTCCCACACCTT